TTCAGTTGATGTTCAATTAATCCAGTGATTGTTCGTCCTAAACCCTCAAAGAAAGACACGTATGATAAGCTAATAGTTAACATCACCACAAAGCATATCACTGCTTTTCCTTGCTAGTTCACCCCATGTTGTAATTATAATTTTAGCAGATATAGAAAAGAATCTTTCTGGAAATTAGGGGAAAAAAAAAAATTAAAATTATGGAAAACAAACTAATAGTCTACTCTTCTGCTGACCCTTTATATCCTGCTTGATTTCGGGAACAGAGCACTGTACCAGTTACTGTTCACTAAAGCATAATTCTATAAAAAAAACATATGTGAGGAAAAGGCCAGACTCTACTTACAAAAAAATATTCTAAACAATCAAAAATAAAATAAATAATGTCCCTGCTATATAGATTTTCCTAAACTTCCTATATACTTCATTTATAATACAAGAAAGGCCAGCCAACCATTCTACTTGACACTGATAGTTTCTAACTGACTGATTATTCAATGACGATTTAGCTGATAGCAGTTCAGCAAGGCCTACAGTCAGAATATATCTCTCAGCAGCTACTTTAATCTTTTTATGTGAGATGGTTGACGTGATTGAATACGAATCTACCTTGAAAGCATACATGAAGCACATGGGTTACAGAAATAACCCTTCAAATAACTACGTGCCATGAATAATAGAGCACATCACACCCATACCAATTTTAGATTTCTTTTCTCTGGGAGGATACAGAGTAAACTCTTAAATCTACAGACATAAGGAAAATTTAACATTTTTCATTTGTTATCAAAGTTTTGCCAATAATTTTTATTGTTTTTCCTTTTAGATGGACTCCACTCAACCCCATTTCCAAAAATATATATGGTTGATATTTGATAACAATACTTTTCAAATGAGAATAAATCAAATACATACAGACTTGTATATCCAATATCTAACTGAATAGATAATAGTATTCTGTATTACAGTACACCAACTATAGAAAAGAGAATATTTAATCATCTTAATCATAAACAGTGATCTTATAAGACAAAGAACACATTAAATAAAGTAATAACATTCAAAAGGTACATACTCAAATGGTTTCAGTCACATATGAATTCAAGACATACATCTTGACAACTATAGCTTAAACTAATTATGACTGTCATCATGCACATTTTTTGGGAAAGGGGAGAAGTTCATAATAGAAAAACTATATCAAGAAACCGGAAAAACATCTCCACAATGACTTTTAATCAAAGTAAGAAAAATATATTAGAAATTTAATTTTGTATATCCTTTTTTTTAAAGCCAACCCATTAGTGAACCTGAGTGAATATTATATATACAGTCTAAGGTTCACATATATGTGAAGTCAGTATTTAGAATAATTTTGAAACTGTTTTTTAATAATTCACATCACAAATAATGTATCTGTCTGTATATTCCTCCACAACATTTTAATTGTAATAAACAAAGTCAAAGATATAGCAGTTAATAATATTCCTTTGAGGTCAATTCCCACATCCATTCAGAATGATTACATATCATGTCTTAAACCTTAACAAGCCTACATTAAAGTACTGTACCACAGATGAACCCATGAAAGAATGCCTTATTATCACGTGCTAAATATCACTTCATTTCATGACATATATGAATTTTCCTTCATGTGATGTGACGAGTTACCTATGCAACATGGTTTGTTTGTTTACACTATGATGAATGCTAGGTGACCAAGTCATGGAATTAAAAACAGAGAGAGAGAGAGAGAAAATGGGTGGATATACACAAGGAGTGATGAACGATGGGGTATGGAGGGAGGGTATACATGATCAGCAGGCTCATCTCACCCTCACTGAAATGAGTCCTCCAACATACACACACCACACGCACACACTACAATATAATAATGCTACATTCCACTCCTCATTTTGTGCCTTCCACCCCATTATATTTTTCTAACCATCTTTACTACCTATTCTACCTCCTCCATGATCTGACTTCTTCCTCATCCTCTTCTACTTCTTCCTCTTCTTCAAAGAGTTCAGGGTGCTCCCCTTCTTCAGTTTCCACTTCTTCCACTATTTCCTCTGTTATTTCCTCCTGAGGAAGAGAGAGCAAAAGAGGTGAGTGTACGAGAAAAAAATAAGGATAAAGGGAAAAGAAAAGATGAAGGATTACATATAAATATATGATGGGAAAAAACTTGTCAGAAAACACTAAGCTTCTTACTAGTGTGTCATCCGGGGAGAGAGATGGAGTGGTGGAGTGTGGGGCAACATTAGAGTATGCATGTGTAGCCACATGATGCCCTCCAGCCACTCCTCCCGCAGCCTGTGAGGATACAGGCAGGGGGGAATCAAAGGCCCAGGTGAGGGTCAGAAGCCGATCACCAAGAGTTCTACCCTCTGACATTGCCTTTTCTGCCTCTCGACGTGATGAGTACTGAATTGTGACAGCCGGAGTCTGATCATCCCAGATATAATTGGAGACAGTGCCCAAGGTCTGTTTGGGGTCAAGAGAAAGTTCTTTTAATCCTCAAGATAATCTTCTTGTCATTTTAATATACCACTTTTACAGACACCCTCTTTCTTATACAACATTTACTTAGATGGTAGACATCTAATCCTTCAAGACCCCCCCCCCCCATTCAAACCATTAAACCTACATAAAGAAATACATACCGAAAAGTGAGCCAACACTTCCTCCTTATCTTCACGTTCAAACCCAGAGGCATTGATCTTGGTGGTTCTTCGATCAACGGATGAAAACGAGTGCCCACCGTACCCTCTGCCCCTGCCCCGTCCTCTCAAACCTCCTCGGGCCAGGCTTGTTACTCCTCTTCCTCGCCCGTAATGGCCTCCTCTGTAGGTCATAAACAGTAGTTACATTCAATATGAAATTAATTCAGATCAATTAATATTAAAAATGTTTTTTAAAAATGTGTACTAAATCACTAAACAGCAAACATGGGAAAAATAAGGACACCATTTCACTCCTGACCTTGCAGTGCTATATGGCGCATGTCTTGCAGATCTTGAAGGAGGGTAACCTGCAGCCTGCTGTTGTGCTCGCAGCTGGTTGAGTCGTGCACGGAGCTTGGAAATGTCTCCTCCTTCAGCTTGGACAGTGTACAGCTCTAGTTCAGTGTCAAGTATTTCTCTGTCTACTTGGACTTTACTTTTGGGGGTCTCCCCTGCTACGAGCTGTGATCTTGTTGTGTCAATGGCTGCTTGCAAGGATTTGATAGTTTCTAGGAGTAATTTTTTCTCTTCTGCTTTCATGGTGGCTTTGTTTTTGTCAAATTTTGTTACAAGTACCTGTTTCAGGTAGACAGAATAAACAAAGTAAATTTACTTGTATGTGGAGGACATCAATGGATTTTTTTTTTTTTTCTTTTTTTAATCATAAGTAACATTTCTTTCTTTTTATTTCCAACAGCATCCAATAATGACCATGACAGTGAGGGTTTTAAAACATGTATCTACAATTTCAAAACTGTCTTCAACATTTTAGGGCAAAGAATTAAATTTTCCAATATGAAATGTATGTTCACCATCAAACTCCAGGTCTAGCATCTAAGACCAAGTACCAACAAGTTCTATTTTGGCTTGTAATATCGAAAATAGAGCTGGCCTGTTTCACACACAGTGGTTATTTATTTTTACTTTTTATTAGATGCATGTAGTATCCATCACCATCACCATACCACTATCAGTGGCAACTGGAGTACAGCCAAACAGTTGGCGATTGGCAAGAGTAACTGAACTCCAGTGGTTGAAGAAATTAGGACAAATCTGAGTCCTGATCATGTTTTTGCATTTGCCCTAACCCCAAAACACACATATACCTTAAAATATACTTAAGCCATAGTCCACAAATTTTAATTTTATCTATTGCAATATTCATGTTAGCTATTCTATTGTTTATTTCTTAACCCAATGGCGCCGGGTGTACAAAAGAAAAAAAAAAAAAAAACTCTACGCTTAAACAAACAAAGGCGGCGAGGGGACATCAGCCCGAATCACTGGCTCGCCGCGCTTTGGCGCGCCGCCGGCTCGTTTGGCTGCACGCCAGCTTTCGAGCTCTTTGTTTACACGCCGACCGGCGTCACCCGGCATCAAGGGGTTAATAAAACTTTTTAATATACACTGATAATCAGGTTCAATGTCTTTTGAAGCCATATAATAATCTTACCTTGAGCTGTTGCATCTGTTTGTCCAACAGCATTCTCTTCCTCTGCTCAACCTCTGACTTTAGCTTTAAAGCTTCTGCCTTCTGTTTTTCCACCTTCTGTTTAGCAGCGACCTAGTATTCAAGGGAAGTAATTATAGGTCAGTCTGTTGACACACCTTGCAACAATGAATTAAAGAATGTTTCCTACACAGCCCTCATAGGGAATAAAAGTGACACTGGAGAATTCTAATTTGGCTAACAAAGAATACTCTTAGCTTTTGACACTAACCATGTACTCATGAACTCTTGAAGTCTATCAATCACTTAATAAATATTCCCTTAACAACATGGAAATTACTAATGTTATCATGAGTTCAGTAAGTATTATACTGAATATCTACATAATTCTCTGGAATATAGCCACTAGTGCCTCTTGATAGGAATGATTCTCAACCCTTTGCATCTCCAATCCACATTTGTAATTGTCAATGAAAAGTGAAGAAAGCAAAAGCAAAAGCATAAGCACAGGCAGAGGGTGCAACGTACTCATAGATCTGCAAAAATGTCCCTACAATTCTTTTATTACTTGACATTTACTCGAGCACCACATAGTCATTTATAAAGAATCCATATTTCAAAATGTTCTAAGAATTGTAGAGAAAGACCACAACTCTACAGAAACACTTCCTAAACTGACAGGAGGTAAGAGCAAAGAAAAAGATTGTACCTCTGCAGCTAATAATTCTCGCTGCTTAAAGATTGCATCAATCTCTTGTCTTTTACTGTCGGCAGCAGTCTGTGTTGAGTCAGGTGCTGTGGCAGGTAAAGAGGGAGGGCCACTGACAGGGGAGGTGGGAGTAACAGCTCCAGTTGCGGGGCCAGCTGCAGTAGAAGAGGCAACAGCAGTAGCAGCAGCAGCAGAATGGAGGGCATGAGTGTTGTAAACAGTCTTGACTAAGCTGCCTCGAGAGATCATCACCTGACAAAAAGAGCATTAAGTTTAAAGGATACTGTTGCTTAACATTTGTGAAGCTAATCACAATCAATAATGTATAATGATTCTGAAAGTCATTTATACTCTAATACTATCCAATTTGAAATAAAACAGGTGCTTTCAACAATGTTTATATTCTAACAAATCAACTAGCATAATTCTAAATATAATTCACCATTTCAAAACTCACTGCATATTTGTTTATAACTATCCTCACAAAAAACAGCCAAAAACAAATCTGACTAACTATAAACAATTTCCACACAAATGGAAAATGCTAACAACTATCTCCAGCTGGACAAACAGCAAGCACAGGAAAGCCAAAAGTTGCTAAATTTACCTTTTCATTTTTGTCCTCACTTGTGTGCTCCACCACCATCTTGTTGAGGGTTTTGTTAGGATGTCTGACGCCCAGTCTGTCATGCACAGGTCTGACAGTGTGGGACGGGTAACTTCCAGGACGATCTGGTTTATTCTGAGGGTACACACACACACGGAAACTCACACACATGGACACACAACTGCCATAATCACACCAATCTGAATGTCTTTGAATATATTCACACAATCACCAAAGAAACTCAATACCAAAAAGGATATACAGATGAAACTCCTGCTCTGCTTTTCATACTTACCTGTGGGTTGTGCCAAAATAGCTTGATAAACCTGTTGTTGAGCACTGCCTCTGTACTGCGGTATGCTGCATTTGCTTCTGAATGGCTTGCGAATGTCACCAGGGCTGACTCTGGATTACCTTCGTTTTGAACCTATCAAAGAAATACAGATATACCTTATGAAAATGAATCTAGACAGGAGTAGGAAATGCAATTAGATCATATCCTTTCTGAATAGGGAGAATATCATCAAAAACAAATATCAATCCCCTAGTCATACATACCTGAATATTGACAATAGTCCCAAACTTTGCAAAATGGTCATTCAGATGAGAAATGGTGTTCAATCCTGGTGGTATTTTTTTCAGCTCCAATGTACAATTGTCAAGGTCAGGTCGTCCTGGCTTTGAAGCCATGGGCATGACGTTGTTTGCTGGAGGAACTGCTGGTCCTAAGCGCTTGGCTAGAGATGGTCTTACTCCGCCACTTGACTGCAAAAATGTAAACAAAATGTATTCGTCATCTATTAAAGAGAAATAATATTTATTTATCATCTATTAGGGGAGAAAAATAGACAGCTCTACTGAAACAGAACTGAGACAGGAGAGGATGAAGAGGATGAGGAGAGAGAGAGAGAGAGAGAGAGAGAGAGAGAGAGAGAGAGAGAGAGAGAGAGAGAGAGAGAGAGAGAGAGAGAGAGAGAGAGAAAGAGAGAGAGAGAGAGAGAGAGAGAGAGAGAGATAACTCACCACCATGGATGCCTCGTTATTGACTGGCACACTGATGAGTTCCCTAGATGTGCCACTAGGGAGAGGGGGTGGAGGTGCCGAGAAACGGGGACCCCCGCCGCTTGTCCCTCTTCCCTGACCACCACTGGCTCCATAGTAAGGTCCTGTGCTGCTGTTGACCTGACCTCCCCACAAGCTTGGGTCACGGGGGGTATACTCACCTAATAAAAAATAATAAAAAATTCTCAATCACCTTGGTTTATGAAAAAGCGAAGGCACTGCTTAGTACTGAACCACTTTCCTTTACTAACTAACAATCTTTTCAAGTCTACTTCCAAATATGCTCAACAATGTTTAGTTCATTGCAACAAATGTAGAAAATGTATAAATGATAATCAATATTTTGCACAGTCAAGATATTCTGTGTCATTTATGCCTTTTCAAGTTATCTCTGCATGACATATGATTTGAGAGTCTAATAAACATTTTTTAAAATGATAAGTACAGATAGTTTTAGGATTCACCACCACTCATGATTTTATAATCATGTTCTATCTTTATCAATAATAAGTACCATTATAACGATCTTTTACAGTTTTGACATTCCTGATTCACAAATCCGTTATATAATTATTTCACATTAAGCAACCACTTCCCAATCTATAGAAAGAGACCTGTGATTAAGTGAAATCAACATACTGGTTCAATGACAGCAATCTGTTTCTCTACTGACAATTTATCAGGTTCTCAGAAAAAGACATACACAATTCTACCACTAACACAACTATTGCTACTGATACAAAGTTACTACAGTTAATACTATGATAATCATGATATTAACCAAGAGATCTGGGTGACAGGTGTGTCTAAATATGAAAAAATATGGCCAAGGGGCAGATTATGAGAATATATCATCATGGTAAAATTTTGACAGGGCTAGGGTGGCAGGAGCAACTTGCCATCAGATATTACTGCTAAGTGGCAGGTGGTGGGAGCATCTTCCCATGAGTGCATGAATATATTGGAGAATGACTTTCTGGGCTTTTATGAAGTGGCTTTTCCACTGGACAAGGGTAAAGTGTACCATGAGTCATGCCTGTAAGAGTGCTTACTCCATGCACAGGAACCTATTCCTACCCATTGTTACCAGCACCGTAGGGGTGTTACGAAAAATTTAATATGAATTTTTAAAAATAAACAGAAATAACATGTTCTTATTGTTATTGGTATTGGTATTGCACAGAATGTAAACTACCTGGCAAGATAATATGGAGTCTGCCAAAAATAAACATTCTATTTCCATCTTGATAACACAAAACAAATGAATGTAAACCTCAGAAAATGGTAGAAGAACAAAACCTCAACAGCAGAAAAAAGAACTTATAGCATTGCAAGGAGAAGGCAAGTAGTCTTGATACTGTGCATAAGTGTTTGTGTGGGCTGGAACTACAAGCCACACATCCTGGAAGGATGTGGGTTCCTTGCATGCTGCAAGGAACCCAGTGAATATCCCTATAGGTTCAAATTGATTTTGCTTTGGAAGTTATGAATACTAATACTAGTACTAGTACTACCTCTACTACTACTATCACTACTAATACTGCTATTCTTTTTCATTCAATTAGTACAATACAAACCGTCACTAACCAATTGTCTTACCATACTGTGGATGTCTTGGGGGAGGATGCCTGGGTCTTGGCACTCCCTGTGGTGGAGCAGGTGCTGGAGTGTACCCTTGGGCACCTGGCACTGGAGGTGGAGGAAAGTCCAGCACTGCCCCAATACCCTCAAGCACCACGGGGTCTGAGCCATGGTCGAAGGGACACATGTCACCTCGCATACAATAACCTTTCTCTGTATTCAAGAAGTTGTCATGAATTAATAGCTTACCATCAAAAGGATGTAAGCAAAGCAAGTGAAAGCAGTGGTGCTGGAAGAAAGTGCACCTGAACTTCTATGTTGTTGTTAGAGAATCTTTAAAAAAATATTTAGAGTAAAATTCAGTGCAAATAAAGAAGAATTTTGAACCTTAAGAATAATCAAAATTAATGAAAATAATCCTTGGCACAAACAAATGCATTTAAATAACAGCAATTAGCAAAAATACCTGTAATTTTGGAGTTCTGACTAAACAAGCTTAAAGAGGACAGAAAGTAGAAAAGGGTTGAAGGAAGAAGGAGAGAAGGAAAAAAGAGAGAAGGAAGGTGATGGGAAGATGAAAAGAAAGGGAAAAGGAGTTGAGTGGGAGAGGGGGGAAAGGACAGGGAGAAAATATGAGAGAGTGGGAGAGAGAGAGAAGGGAGAGAGAGAGAGAGAAGGGAGAGAGAGAGAGAGAGAAGGGAGAGGGAGAGAGAAGGGAGAGGGAGAGAGAAGGGAGAGGGAGGGAGGGGGAGAGAGAGAGGGGATATATCAGGTTACTTTAATACAGGTAGCACCACCCCATCTTTGTGAAAATCCTAGTTGGCAACTGAGGAGCTTTGGCCTGCCTTTTCACCTTCATCCATTACAAAATTAATTTTTTCTTCTTTTTTTCTTGGTTTGGTTTCTGATTATTTTCATAGTATTGGTATTACTGGAATATTTTTAAAACATAATTAAGAATCATTTACCATAAAATAATGGCAGTGTACAAAATGAGAGTATGCAAAAATAGTCTGTATCATATACACCTAAATCCATATTTATTTACATAATTTACTTGATATTGTTATAAATACCAGACATGTAATAAAAAACACACTTTTTTATTTATGGTAGGTAAGTGTTCCATACCATAAACAGCTGTCCGCATACTTTAAAATATTCAATTTCATTTTTGAGTTCAACAGGCTAAATGGAAGTGGGGCTACCTGTCTTTAACCCAATGACGCCGGGTGTACTAAAGGAAAATAAAACTCTACGCTCTGGCAAACAAAGGCAGCGCGCCGACTTTGAGCGCCGGAGTACGGGGCGTCAGCCCGAATCACTGGCTCGCCGCGCTTTGGCGCGCCGCCGGCTGGTTTGGCCGCACGCCACCTTTGAAGCGATTTGTTTACACGCGTATCGCCGTCACCCGGCGGCAAGGGGTTAAACTGGGCACTACAAGATGACAACATCCGTGTCATGTTGCTGTAGTTTTATCGCAACTTACATCAAGTGTACCCAGTAAAATGAGAAACCATTTACAGACATTATTAGCATTGTTCATTAACCTATCAGACATTTGGAAAAATAAGTTTTACGACAACTATGGTCTAGGCAATTTATACGATAAACCCATTGGATCGAGGTGAAGGTGATGTCACATCATCAAAAAATTTGGGCGAGTGGTGGGTGTTAGAAATGTATTGTCATTTAAAAATCCAGCTGAGGGCTAGGGTGACAGGAATGTATTGTCATGAGAAATTGCTGACGAGCGGTGGCTGAAGGGATATCTCACCGCGAGTGTAAAAAGCTCTTGAGGAGATTAGAGTCTGTGAGCATTTAGAAAGGGAGAACACTAATTCCATACGCAAGAAACCATT